AAAGATAATTCATCCAAATAGTAACACGGTCATCTTCTCTCATCCCCCGTGACATTGGTTACCTTCGCGTTACCTCAGTACGATGGCCTGCTGTAATTATTTTATAAATCGTTAAATATTAATACTAGTATTTTTTTTTTTAACCTTTTTCAAAAATTTCTGTATTATGATCCAGAAAGATATTAAATTTAAAAAGTAAAAAATTTAATTTAAACTCCATACATAATTAAATTGCTAATTGTTATTTAAGTTCAGAGAGACCCTGCTTGAACTCAACATTATAAAATGTTAATATGATCGACAATTCAACCAAAGAATTTTACTCTGGTTTTTAAAACTGAAAAATCTCCATATCAATTTATAAATATTGATTTGAATAAGTCTAATAAACATTTCAACTATCTTATTTTTTCATGTAAAATGGTCGCAATTTGATTTTTAAATTTTAATTTACGAAAATTAATGTTTAAGTTGAAGTACCATGGCATGAAAAAAACTACAGCAACAACTTTATAATTGTTTAACTAATATAATTAGAAATTTACTTTATATTTGATATATTCGAATCAGATATTAGATATTTTGACAACGAATTTGATTGTTTTTTACCTTATTATAAACCATTTATGAGAATTTTTTATTGGATAAAATAATTTACAATACACAAGTACAATTATTTATATCTCCAAATATAAAAATAATAAATTAAACAAAGTAAAAAAATAGGATTTTAGATGGACATGTTAACAACTTTAAATACTTCATAATCAATAATAGAAAATTTATCATTAGTTGTTCTAATAGATTTTTCATAAATTATAAATACAATTACACTGATTTTGCTTATCTTGAGTAAAATCAGATACTTTTGATTTCATAATGAATTCATCGTTTCCAAAACATGGACCAAATCTATCTTTACAATTATAATAAAATAAAGCATGATTTTCATTTTTAACTCTGCTAAGGATTGAATTTTGAATATAATTATCTTTAAATGAAAACATAAAACTCTTATTTGTACTTATCCACCACTCTTTTGTTTTATCCCAAGTTAGAGGATTAAATCCGCCAATAATTTCGTTTGTTCCTTCAACTTTAGTGACTGCAATTGTATTAGCGTGCCCATGACAAATATTCCAAAAAGTTCTTGGAGCAAATCCATCTTCACTTCCTCGAAGAAGTAATTGAAATTCGTAAGGATTATTTGTTAAAGAACAACTTGTTGGTCGATAATCAATCCATGATGAAATTATTGATGCATGTTCTTCATTGATTATAATCTAAAATGGTTCATTTACTCTTGTTGGTAACTCTTGAGTTAAAACTAATCTTGGTGGAAAGATAATAGATTTTACTGGTCGATCTGGAAGCAAAAGGTATTGTTTCAAATCATTCCATAATTGTTTATCAAGAATTTTCTTATATGGTTTGACTTTATCCATAAAGTCAGAATTGGGAATGTGAAAATAACGAATAAGCGGTAAACGATTGTTTTTAAAGTAATAAAATTTTCGTCAATCCATTCTTCCAATTTCTCAATTACATAATCCCAAATTTCTGATTCTTTCATCTTTAGATCATCACGCTTTAAAATTGACACTAAAGAAGATTCAGGAAGAGAAGTGAATTCGGAAGATTTAAAAATAATATTTGGATATTTTGCAATAATATCATTACAAAATTTTTCCAAATTTGGTATTTTTAAAAATTGAATGATAAACAAGGGAAAAATGAGTTCTTAACCAAGAAGTTTTGGATTTAATAAAAAGATTTTCTAATTTCTCGGATAATTCCTCAAACTCCAACTCATTAACAACGATCATTAATTCAAACAAAGTTTTGGTATTCATCTTTTCGGTATCAATAATCCCGCCATAGATATATCTATAAAATTATTCAAATTTTTAATTTATTAAAACATAATAATTGAATTTAAAATAAATTATTATAAAAGCCTTACTTAAGAATAATTTCAAACGTTTGAGAAGAAATATCCCGTAAAGTAATAGTTTTCAGAATATTATCATAATCATCATCATCATCGTTGCGAAAAGAATTTGTTAATTCTCTCTTAAAGTAAGATGAATGAATAACTTAAGACGGACGATTGCGCAGTGAAGGTTTTTTTTATTTGGTTCTTGATCATCTTCAATAACAACATCGTAAATTTCTTTATCATTAAGAGGTTTCGTTAATTCTAATAATTTAAATATCATTTCTTTATAATAAATGTTATTTTTTAGAATTTTTGTGTAATTAATTATTAGAAAGCCTCCTCAATGATCATGGAGGAAAAATTCAATAAGAATTTTTTTCATAAATTGGAATCTCCTATACGATTTTTTTTCGACAATAAAGTAATTTACATACATCTCTTTCGAAATGTTCTAAATTTTTAATTTTGCGTAATATATGATCACGATATATATAATATATATTTATTTATTAGGAAAAAAAAAACCATTGTAAATATCATAAATATATTAATACTGCAAACGATTTATGACGACAAAGAACTTTTGAATGTTCGGAAATAAATATATATATAACAATGGTATATGGAACATTCTAAATATTTTCACTTTCATTTTCATTTTAATTTTTTCTTTCATTTTCTAAAAAAATATAATAATAATGATAATAAAAACATGATAAAAAAATAATATATATAAAAAAAATAAAGGAATAATAAGAAAACATAAAATTCAATACAATTCAACGAAAACATCAAAAAAAAAAAAAAACATTATAAATGACAATTATCCATATCCAAATATGCTATAAAAAAATTATTGAATTGAACTTGAATTATATAATAAATGAAAAACACTTTTTTTTTTATGATAAAAAGAAAAAGAAAAAAAAATAATAATTGAAAAGAAAGAAAAAAAATAATAACCATAATAAAGAAATGAAGAGAAAAAAAAATAATAATAACAAAAAAAAAAGAGAAAAACAAAAAGACACAGGAGAGAAAGAGAAAAGGAAAAAAAAAAAATAGATTAAAGGAAACAAAAGAAATAAAAGAAACAAAAAAAAATAAAAAAAAAAAGATATATGATATGATTTTAGTGAAGGAGAAGAAGAAACAACACTCATCTTTTTTTTTTGTATTTTTTTATTTTTTTTTGAAAGAAATGGTATTATCTCATAAACTCGTATATCAGTTGGATCTTCTTCCCACTTGAATAATTCTTGATATTTCTTGTTTACTTCTTGTTTTACTTCTTGTTTAACTTCTTGTTTTACTTCTTGTTTTACTTCTTGTTTAACTTCTTGTTTAACTTCTTGGTTTGGTAGTTATCGATTCGGTTTTTTGAGATTAATTGTTATTGTTATTGTTATTTTTTTATTATCCCGAGTAATTATTTCCGTGACCTGGAGGATGAGAGACGGAATGATGTGGAGAAGTTGGAGTGACGACGGTGGTGCCGGGAGCACCCGGAGGGTTATTAGTAGAAGTTACACTAGAGTTAACTGAAGTATTAGAAGTATTAGCTGAATTTGATGTCGGATTAACAGATGTAGCAGCACCAGTAGAGGAAGTACCAGTAGCAGCATTAGAAGCACCAGAAGAAGTAGAAGCAGTAGTAGTAGTTGCTTGACTATAACCATAAGGGTAATATTGTTGTTGTCCATATGCATCATAACCTCCATTATTATAATATTGTTCCCAACCTGCAGTAGCGTTAACAGCAGCGGCATGATGAGCAGCCGCGTGATGATGAGCAGCAGCATGATGATGAGCTGCGGCATGATGATGAGCCGCAGCATGATGAGCTACAGCAGCAGCAGCAGCAGCAGCATGAGGTGGTTGTTGATGACTCGCAGCAGCAGCAGCAACTACTGCAGCGGCTGTTGCACCATCTAATGAAGCTAATGATGGTGGAGGAGCTGACATACCAGGAGGAAGATCATAAGCACTTTCAGTACCAGGAGTAGCGTAATGACCGGCGGGATTACCGTAATAACCGTAATGACTATAATTATATGCGTTTGGTACGCCGTAGGTATGATAAGTGGTAGTGGTAGCTTCGGGAGCTCGATCTTTTCCCCACGAACACTAATCACAAAAAATGACAAAAAAAAGTTAAAATTAATATATATATTCGATTTAATGTTTATATATTTGATAATGGAATTATAAAATTAGAATAAAATAAATTACTTTAATAATTCGACCATTAATATTTGTATTTTGTAAATTTACGATTGCATTGGCTGCATTTTCGTGTGTATCCAACCTTAAAAATAAATTAAATAAAATTAATTAAAATTAAAATTAATTAAATTAATTAAAATTAAAATTAAATAAATTAATTAAAATTAAAATTAAATTAATTAATTAAAATTAAAATTGATTAATTAAAATTAAATAAAATTAAATAAAATTAAAAAAAAAAAAATTAAAATAAAATAAAATTAAAATAAAATTAAATAAAAATAAATAAAAATAAAATAAAAATTAAATTATAATATTATAATAGTAGTAAATTATAAAATAAATTATATCATGTGAACTTACTTCACGAAAGCAAAACCTCGGTCAGCTTGCATGCGAACTTCAATGATAAATCCATAAGATTGAAAGTATGGTACCAAATGATCCTCTGTCAATGAAAAATATCATTCGTGATATTTATTAATGAAAATATATTTATTAGTAATTGTGAAATTAATTTATTATCATAATTATACTTACGTGTGGTATAAGTAGGTAAATTTCCTACATAAACGGTACTATTATAGTGTGGAGTTTGAGCAACTACAATATCATAAGATAATTGTGGCGCTTTTTGGGTTGGTATTCCCATAACTGATTAGATATTGTGAATTTGTAAAATAAAAAAAAAATATATATATATTTTATTATTATTCCATTTGATTATTATAATTAGAATTTTATTTTTTTTTTTTCGTAATAATAATTTGTTAAATGAATGAATTTTTTTTTTTTACATACATACGTACATAAAGAAAATTAGCAATAAATAAATAAATAAATATATATATATATATAAATAAATAAAATAAAAAATAATAACAATAATTTTAAAAATATTGGATTTTGGTTACCTTGTCGATCCGAGGTATTACTTCCTGGACCAGGTTGACCTTTTTGATTTGCCCAATTACATCGAATTGCACGACTTCCTAACCATTCACCTGAGTAATATGAATAATATTGGAAAATAGAAATATGATTTTATTCTTCTTGAAATAAATAATAATAATAATTATTATTTTTTTTTTTGAATAAATTGATTGATTGATTACTCCACTCACCGTTCATTGTAGCAATGGCTTGTTCCGCATCCTAAATTTAAATAATTAAAATAATTTAAAAATATTTAAAATTATTTATTTATTAAAGTAAAGTATAATTCTAATAACCTTCCAATAATTTATATTTAACTTACAGTTTTATCACGAAATGCTACGAATCCATATCCTCGAGACTTTCCAGAATTAACATCCCACATTACACGAGCATCCCTATTATTATTATTATTATTAATTAATTATTATTAATTATTAATAATTAATAATTATTATTTTTGTCGCTTATAATAAAGAATTTAATTTTAAATAAAGGAAAGAAATACTTACGACATGCTACCAAATGCACTAAAAGCTTTGGCAAGAACTTCATCATTAACTTCGGGACTTAAGTCTCCAACGAAAATATGATAATGACCTAAACGCATTATTAATGTAGTAAATGTGAGCGATAATGAATATACGCGACGTGTATACATATGAACACATCTCTAAATATATATATAGGGAATACATACTTGATGTATCTTCCTTATGACCCTGTTGTCCTTGGAAAGCCCAGTTTACTTTTATCTCCTAAAACATTAAAAATGTAAAAAATATAATATTATAACTACGATTATTATTACAATTAATTATTAATTATTTATTTATTTATTTATTTATTACCATGTTGTATATTTTTCTTCCATTAAGAGTTTGAAGTGCTTGCTCGGCTGAACGATGGTCATTAAATTCAACGAATCCATAATTCAATCCACCATGTTGATACTATAATGCGAATATTTTCGAGTAAATTAATAAGAGTATTCCGAATAGTTCATCGAGAAGAATGGGAAGGATGGAGTGGGAATGCATATGAAAATGATAAAAAAATAGAAAGAGAAAAAAGAGAAATAAAAAAATAATAAAAAAAAAATAATAATAAATTGTGAGTGATCGGAATTCATAATAATCAAAAAAAAAGAAAAAAAAAACAATCAAGGCAATATCCAATAACAATAACAATCTATATTTCTAATATAACTAATAATAATAAAATATGATAATAATAAAACATGATAATAATGATATAAATATAAGTAATTAATTAAAGTAATTAAGATCAGCCTACGAGCCAATTCGGAAGAGTACTTTTAATTAAGTATAATTATTGCATTTGAATTGTGTACACTCTTTTGTCGCCCCACACAAAAAATATGCTTCCTGCTGTAATAGTAACTGTTTGATCAGCGAAGTTGTTAGGTAATTTTTTTTTTTTTTTTTTTTTTTTTGTAGAGAAAATAATAATAATAATAAATAAATAATAAAATAATAATAAAAAAATTGAGATAAAATGATAAAAAATGAGATAAAAAAATGAGATAAAAAATAATAATAATAAAAATAAAATGAGATAAAAAATAAAATGAGATAAAAAATAAAATAAAATAAATAATAAATAATAAAATCAAATAAACTCAAAGGAAGGAATAGATCAGAAAATAAAAAACCAATAAATAAAATATGAAATAAAAAATAAAAATAATAAAAATAATAAAAATAATAAAAATAATAAAAATAATAAAAATAATAAAAATAAATAAGAGATGGATTAGGGAAGATAGAGGAATTCCAACCTTTGAGCTGCGTCATATATATATATATGTATGTATGGAGCGCAACTCGGATGTCCATAAGCAAAGAAGTAGCAAGCCATCCAATATATCACACTTATCATTTTACGGTAAGAAGAAAACTTCTAAAGAGCTCGTTTTTTGTTCAAAAGGTGCCCTCGAAAAAAAAAAAACAAAAAAATTCCATTTCAACAACACCACACGTATAATGATAATAAATGATAAATAATAATAATAATAATGATAAAGATCAAAGATAAAGATAAGGATAAAGATAAAGAAAAAAAAATAATAATAAAATAATAATAATAAAAAAAGAATAAGAAAAAAAAAAGAAAAAAAAAGGAAAAAGAGGGTGTAATAATAATAGTAATAATGTAAAACATAAAATATCTCAAATAATATCTCAAATCAAAAAAATAATCGTTATTTTTTAAATCAAAAAAAAAAAAAAAAAAAAAAAAAAAAAAGCCACAATATATATATATATATATATATAAAGAAAAACCCCCTCTCTTTTTCTCTCAAATCTATTATATACGCACTAAATCTATTTTATTTCTTCTCTCTATATATATATACATATGCACATACACACATATATATCGTGTTGATTTGTGTTTTTTTTTAATTGTTGTCGGGATAATATTATCATAAGGTCAAAACTCACATTTTTATCAGGAATAATTTTCGTATTGTTAACAGATCCCGCGACGCCAAAGATTTCGTGAAGCATACTATCGGTAACTCTCGGATCAAGGTTACCCACGTAAAGACTTTTACAACCTTCGTCAAGTGAGTTGAGTGAGCTCATTATTAATCAAAAAAAAAATAATATCAAAAATAAGAATATCGTATATCTGATATCTAAAGAAAAAAAAAAAATCTCAGAAAGGAAGGAAGGAAAATATCGGAAAAAAATTAAAAAATAAAGATTATCAGTTACAGTGGTAGTATTAGTGGTGGTAATAGTTTATTATTATTATTATAAAAAAAAAAAAGGCAAAAAGTAGAAATAATAAAACGGAATAAAAAAAATTTTATTATTTAAAAAAAAAAAAGGACGAAAAACGATCGATCGTTAAAAAAAAAAAAAAGAAACTCGTAACTGGTTAATACTACTATTACTTTTTTGAATAATAATAATAATACTAACAGGTGTAATAATAATATTATTACTATTATTATTAATAATGAACAGATAATAAGATGATAATAATAATAATAATAATTAATTATTACAACAAAAATATTAAAAAATGAAATGATAAAAAAAAAATATTAATAATAAAAAAAAAATTAATAATAAAAAGGAAAAAAAAGGGAGTTTTTTTTTTAAAAAAAGCGTTTGTTCTTTAAAAAAATCAAAAAAAAATACGGAAATTGTTTTGATTGGTTCAAATAGTATAGTAGTAAGTTCTAAAAAATTTTTTTTTTTGACGTGCTAATGTCATTTTGAATAATAATAAATAGTATTTTTTTTATGGTATTTCATTTAACCAATACAATATTCCAATACCTTACATTATATTTCTTCTCTTTTGATGATGAAAATAATTCTTTTATAATTGATAATATCAAAGAAATAATAATGAGTCCACTTAATAGAATTTTTAATATTCATAAAATTAGTAAAATTAGGTAAAAAAATTTTTATATTACCTGCGCTGTGTGTGTCACTTTCATAAAAAATTCAGATAAGTAACTTTTTTTGGTTCGTAACCACGTTTATTCTTGACAAAGTAGGAAAGATTAAAATATAAAAATTGATAATAATAAAAATGATTGTATTGATCTTAGGTAATACTTTTTTTTTTTTTTTTAACAGATAATCTTTATAGCGGTAAAACCTTATTATAGTAATTTATATATTTTTAGAAAGATTTGTTAAAGAAAGAAAGAACGATTGAAATAAATAAATAAATAAATAAATAAATAAGTAAATAAACAATTAAACAATTTGTTTTAAAAAAGGCCCTTGCGTAACATTTATTATTTGACTTTTGTATGTCAGTCAGATATTTAAAGTAAAATAATAACCAGAATACCAGAATACAACAGATACAACAGGGTCAAAAGTAGTAAATTAAATTAAATTTATTAATTATTATTAATTATTTTAATTAATTGTGGGGGTGCAGTTCGATTTTGGTTTAATTTGTTTTAAGAAAAATTAATCATGCTTTAAATACAACTTTTTTTGATGCGCTTTCGACGCACTTTGGATTTGGAGTGAGAATTATTATTATTATTGTTATTTTTCTACTTAAAAGATTAGTTTATTTATTTATATTTATCTATATATCATTACAAGTATGTATGTACATGTAGTGGTTCACTTTTAATATTTAGGTGTGTATAGAGAAATGATTATTATTAGAATTTATTATTATTATTATTATTATTAGAATTAATGATTATTTGAGATTATTCGAGCAAAATATACACTGACACGACCTACACCTTCGCGCGTTACTTAAGTAACACCTTCGCGTTACCAAAGTGTACACGAATCTAATAATACAATAGTGTTAGACCAATGATAATAATAATTTAATAATAATATTAATTAATTAATGTCTTGCTAATATTATAATTTTGAAAAGTTTTTTTAATTAATTAAAAACTTCTTTAATCTAATTTCAATATCTATACATAATAATAATTGTTAATTTAATTTAAAGTCCACCCACAAGATCAGAGAGATCCTAGATCATAAATATATTTTTATATTTTATTTTAGAAATAAAGAATATTCTATTATGGATGTGTGCAAATGAAGGAAATGGTCTTGTATTTTAAATTAAAGAAAAAATTTATTAAATGTATTTTTTTTTTTTATTATTATTACCATATCCAATTTTTTTTTAAATAATGCGACCATGATGCAGCTTGGTTTATATTTATTATTATCATATCTAAAAAATTTTTTTTTGGTTTAATTTATTTATTTAATTATTTTGTAAAGTCCAAAATTAATGCTTTATCCAGTATATGATAGCATATGATGTTATTGAGGAAATCGTATGTTAAAGAAAATGAGAGTGGTAAATTTAATTAATTCATTTTTTTATAATAAAAAATGCATTCAATTAACAATATATTAAAATAAATTTATTATTAAAATAAATTAAATTGCAAATTTAAGGAGTTTAAATACTGAAATAAGAATTTATTTTTACTTTGTTTTTAATACTGAAAAATTTATAGTACAATCTAATTCATCATGTCAATTATAATTTTTCAACTTATTGCATATAATATAAAAAATTGGAAGTCTAAAGGGACATTTCAAATAGTTGACAATTTGATTTTATAATTTAATTTACGAAAATTAATGTAAAGTTGGAGTGACATGGTATGAAAAAAACGATTTATGCTATCTAACAACAGAATTATTAATAAATATTAATTTTTTAACCAACGTAGCCTCACTCCACTCCAAGACGTTTTATTAATTTGAAAAATAAATTATACAATTTATGAAACAAATGAAATAACAAAGGAACTTGCTAAAACTAAACTAGATCTAATTCACGGCACGGTTCATCGTTGCCCTGTCAGTTATCACGTTTGGTAACATTTTACCCAAAACAAATTCTTTGCGTAAAACACTGCTGTGTTTAAAGAGTTACGAATATATAAATTTTAATTGATATAATCATATATACAACAAATTTTAAATCACGAAATATTAAATATATTTATGAGCAATTCTTTATTAGATAAAATAATTTACAATACACAATACACAAGTGATATCTCTAATTATAAAAATGATAAAATAAACTAATTGAAAAAAAAATAAGATTTTAGATGGATTTGTTAGCAACTTTAAATACTTCATAATCTATAATAGAAAATCTTTCATTAGTTGTTCTAATAGATTTTTCATAAAAATTAAAAACATAATTACACCTATTTTCCTTATCTTGAGTAAAATCAGATACATTTGATTTCATAATGAATTCATCACATCCAAAACATGGACCAGTTTTATCTTTATTTTCATAATTAATTAAAGCACGATTTTCATTTATAACTCTACTAAGAATTGAATTTTGGATTTTACCATCTTTAAATGAAAAAATAAAACTTTTATTGGTTTCCATCCAACCACGTTTTGTTTTATCCCAAGCCAAAGGATTAAATCCACCAATAATTTCGTTTGTTCCTTCAACTCTGGTGATCACAATTGTATTATCATGCCCATCGCAAATGTCCCAAAAAGTTCTTGGCGAAAACCCATCTTTACTTCCT